CAGGGGGTGGGGGTGGGGGGGTGTCCAGCAGCCCGAGCACCTGTGACCCACTGTGGGTTCTTGGCTCCATGCAGGAAAGAATCCAAACCTGAGCCAGCATAGAGTTTAAAGTGAAAGTGAGTTTATTAGTGAAGTCCCGAGACAGAGAGTGGGTACTTCACAGACAGAGCAGCCCCCTCTTAATCAGAGTTTGCTTCCTTTATTGAGGTTTATTTAATGGGGTGGGGGAGAGATAGGCATTCAATGAAGGGGAGGAATATTCAGCATCTTTCTGGGGAAAGGGGTGGAGACTTCTCAGAAGAGCTCCATCTGCCACTCTGTGTCCTTATATGGGCTTTCTGTTTCCGACCAGGGCATCCTGGGGTGGGGTGTGTTGTTTTGCATGCTGATGTATTACCATGAGCATATAATGGGGCTAGGGGTTATCATAAGGTGAAATTAGTGGCCATGTTGGATTGAGCTGGTCTTTGCAGGTGTTAAGCCATAAATCAGCCAGAGGTGGGGTTTGGGGGGAGTGGTCTTACTATCTTCTTGACAGTTCCTGTGGCTTTATCGAGTGCAGCTGTTTGGCCACATACCCTATCTCACTCCCACCTATAGTCAGGGGAGGGAGAAGCCTACCTTCAGGGTGGCCTTGCAGGGTTGTACAGGTTGAGCTCTGCACAAGGATGCCAGCTGAAGGGCAAGCAGAGCCCGAAATCCAGCCCACTGCCCAGCATGTGTCTTTGTGCATGTTAGAGCCCAGCCATTCTGAACTCAGACTGACTTTCTAAACTGATAGTGGCCTGGCCTTTTATATCCTGGAAACCAGCTTTATCACTTACCAGCCAGCAGGCACGGAAGCCTTGGGAAAATGTGAAGCAAACCTTTTAAAACCAAAGATTAAGTTGGATACTAGGTTATGATGTGATTGGTATTTGCTGGAGAAAGAGTCATTCGCCCTAGTACACCATGCCATGTTTCACTTCTCCCGTTCTCTATCAAGGTCTATAAGTAAGTAGATGGGATTATTTGTCCACAGTCTCAGCATTACAGGTAACTTTTGGTTAAAAACTTAACAGGGCCCGAGTACTATTTGGCAAATTATGAACCTTCAGTGCTATAAGCAACAGCATTTGGCAGTCAAGAGATGCTGACATATCTCCCAGGAGACCGCGAAGGTCTGGTTCACCTGGGTAAAGGTTGCGTGGTAACTGATGTTTACCATCGGTGGCTGCAGTTCTGCTGAGTCAGCCTTCTCAGACCGGCACCGTGTCCTTGGCAGTGGTGCGCTGGAAGCACTGTGTGGGCTTTAGAGGCAGAGGCTCAGCTCAGCCCTCTCCAGCGGGGGATCTTCAGTGTATTCCTGACCTTCTGAGCTTCAACTCCCTCATCTGTAAAATGCCTTCTTCCCGTGGTGTTAGAATGAAATAAAATATGCAAAGCATCTAGCATGGAGCCTGGACAGCATCGTAGGTTCTCAATAAACGTTAGTTTTCCCCTCCCCCCTCTCAAACATCTTCCACGATTTCTTTATTAGTTTCCTTGGACTGCCATCACAGAGTTCCAAAAGTTGGGTGGCTTAAAACAACAGATATTTATTCTTACAGTTCTAGAAGCCAGAAGTCCAAACGCAAGGTGTTGGCGGGGCCCTACTCCCTCTGAAGCCCCTGGGGCGGCTCCTCCCTGGCCTCTCCCAGCAGCTGCTAACCTCAGGTGTCACTTCATCTCATCGCCTTCTTCCTCCTGTGTCTCTGCCTTCACATGAGGTTCCCTTTGTGTGTCTGTGTCCAGATTTCTCTCTTATAAGGACACCAGTCATGTTGGATTAGGGCCCATCCTAATGATCTCATCTTAACTTGATAACATCTGGAAAGACCACATTTCCAAATAAGGTCACACTCATAGGTACCAGGGCTTAGGGTGTCAACAAATCTCTTTTTGGAGGGCACAATTCAACCTGTAACAATTTTCCATCGTCTGTAGAAAAATAATAATAATCAGGAATTGTCTAATAACTTTAGAGTTTCTAGAAGGCTTTTATTATCTCTGCTCAGGAAGACAGGACTTTATATGTTTTGTTAAGGGGGAAATTCCCATTAAAACCAGGTGGTGGTTTCGTTACAGAAGATGAGGATACCTATTTAGATTTGGTGCAAAAATTCGCTTGTTTTGCTAAAAACCAGGAGAAGATACCTTTTTTTTTCCACTTAAGATTTCATCACAGTCACTTCTCCAGGTTGCAACATAGTTTTCATAATTTTCACAATTGATATATGATCTAGTTGAAATACACAGTTTATTACCTGTTTGTTGGGCATTTACAAGCCACTAATCGAGAATGTCTTGATTAAATGAAGAATTCACTTGATGTTATATGACTACAACACCACAGACCAGCCTTCCCAAATTCGTGCCATGTTCTTGGCCACTGAGCATTGGAAACAGTGCAGCTGTTTCAGCACACACCCTATCTCACTACCTCGTCTGACCTTGTGGAATCAGACAGACCTGGAGTCACACCTCAGTCCCGGGTCTTTCTAGCTGTGTGAACTTGGCATATTAAAAAAAGTGGTAGAACAATGTTTAAAATAAGCATGTATTTATGTTCATCTGAAAAACTTTATCTGTATCTGGAAAGATCCATACAAAAACTGTAAAGCAGGGAAAGCCCTGAGAGGTGGGAATGAAAATGAATTAGGGGCCGAGGAGGACATTCATATTTTACTACATCTGTATTTTATTACATCTCCTTTAAAATATATTTTTATTGATTTCAGAGAAAAAGGGAGAGAGGAAGGGAGACAGAATCATTGACTGGCTGCCTCCTACACGCCCCATACTGGGGATGGAGCCTGCAACCCGGGCACTTGCCCTGAGCATGGAACTGACCTATGTGACCTCCTGGCTCATAGGTCGATGCTCAACCACTGAGCCATGCTGGCTGGATGTACTTTTCCTAGTTTTTAAAGAATCAGTTCAATCAACTAATTCAAAACCAAGTCAACCAATTAAAAAAAAAGCACCTGTGTTAAAATCAGGTAATTATTTGGAAACTAAGGGAATCTGACATTTTGAAAATTGGTTGACCAATTCTTCTCCATCACTTACCAATTGGAAAAGATAATATGGAAAAAATACAATTTGAGAAGAGTGACAGAAAAGAGAAATCTTAGCTCTGATTACATTTTTTTTTTGTAACCCACTAATGATACATTCAGATATCTGAGTCTCTTTAATTGTCTGTCTTCCTTTTTAGAGAAAGAAAACACCAGAAATTTTTTTTTATTAAAGCAAATACATCCTTGCCCTGGTTGGGTTGCTCAGTTGGTTGGACCATCATCCTGGGACGCCAAGGTTGTGGGTTCCAGCCCTGGTTAGGGCACATACAAGAAACAACCAAGGAATGGATAAATAAGTGGAACCAAAAAAAAAAAAAATGAATGTTTCTCTTGCTCTCTCTCTCAAATCAATTAAAAAATTTTTTAAAAAAGTGCAAATACTTTTATTAGAACTGCCGAAGAAATATTTGCTTTTGTTGTTTCTGATGTTGTTTTTAATAGCCTTAATTTTTCAGCTGAAACTTGATTTTGCATTGTAAGCAAATATTATTCTTACTTTAAAAAAATTGATTTTAGAGAGAGGAAGGGAGAGACAGAGAGAGAAAGAGAGAAACATTGATATGAGAAACATGGATCTGTTACCTCCTGCACATGTCCTAACTGGGGATCAAACCCACAACCTGGGTATGTGCCCTGACCAGGAATCAAACCGGAAACCTTTTGGCGTACAGGATGACACTCCAACCAACTGAGACACACTGGCCAGGGCTAGTCTTACTTTTTTTTTAATATAAAATTATCCTTAGTGTAATAAGTTCTGGAAAGAATATGTAATCAGTAAACATTTCACAATGATTACAAATCTCCTGGATATAATAGCAATGATTTTTTCAGTTACTTTTCCTACAACTCTGGCCAACAAATTCTGTTTTCTCAAAGGATGCACAGTTCAGCAGCATGCATCATATGTTACCTTTAACATCTGCTTTTGAAAAGTAGTGTCTACTGGTTTTGAAAATGAGGATTCTTCCATTTTACGCTTCCCACCATTCTAACAAATACTTAATAAAATACTAGGAAATTAGTGATGTACTTAGGAAATAAAATTACTTAAAAAATATAATTTCCATATTTCATATTCTTCACTATCATTCTGTTATAATTCACTTAATTCCCAATTAACGTATAGAAAAGATCTTTATAAGAGATCATTCCATTTTGATTTATACTTATTGAAAGGTTACCAAAAGTTTCACAAGTAATTGGGTATGAAATTTTTATATTTGGTTAATAAATTATATATTTATACAAATTAGTGAAATATGTTTTCAGTAAATATAAGAAGTTTCATAATCAATTATTGACAGGTTACAACAGTTCAGTTAATGTTATTTGAAAACCTAAAAACACACACACAAAAAAAAACCTGGTGTGATTCTAATAAGTAAAAACAAGAACTAAGTTCAGGCTGAGAGGTCATTGAGGATATTTCGAAACAATTTATACGTCACCAGTAAGAATACAAAGGTGGTTTAGATGACCCTATGTACTAGTACATATGTGGTTATACATTCATTTGTGTAATGCTTCTTGGGGCTGCATGTTCTCATTATTCTTTAACACTGTCATCATTGTCAACTTTGTTTGAAAAGAATTTGTTAGTCACCTCACATACATCATAGCACGCCCCAGTGATGCCCAGAGAGGTACTAGTTCATATACATAAACACAAATTGTGGCTGCTGTTCAAACATTTGACATTATGCCTTTTGTGACTTAGGTGGCATAGACATGGCTTTTCTCAGAGTTCATAGTTTTAAAAGGTGAGACCCTCATGATTTGTGTTACTGCACTGGATTGAGGACTGGCCGGTTCTTAGGCATTTGGAGTCTCTCGTAACAGCAAGTACAGAATCTGGTATATAGAAGCAGCTCAATAAATGCTTTTTTTTTTTTTTTTAAAGTTTATAGTTTATTAAATCTCTCATGAAAAATCTGCACAACCATCACAGATAAAGTCACCGAAGAATCTTTACTCCTTCTGTAGTTCAATCTCCAGCTCACTGCCAGACACTTAATTTCTTTTTGCCAGCACCAACGTTGGCCTTTGCAGTCCCCCTAACTTTCTTCATTCTGTTCTTGCGTTCCTTTCTCTGTTTTCTTGAGGTCTTCTTCTTCTCATATAGGCCATGTCTTGCAAGTCTGTGTTTGGGTTCATTTTTCTTTGCGTAGTCCAAGGAATCATAAATCATGCCAAAGCCAGTGGTCTTGCCACCACCAAAGTGGGTCCTGAATCCAAACACAAAGATGACATCCGGTGTGGTCTTATACATTTTGGCTAGTTTTTCCCGGATTTCTGTCTTGGGTACTGTTGCCTTCCCAGGGTGAAGGACATCAATGACCATTTGCTTCCGCTGAAGTAGTCTGTTGGTCATGAACTTCCTGGTCCGGATGGTTACTGTGTCATTCATGATGAAGGTTGGTCTTCAAGCAGCCAGGGAGGAAAAGAGCAATAAATGCTTTTTGCATTGCAAGATGACCTTCACCTGAATGCAAATGCAAGTGTCAAGGAGACAAAAGTCTCTGGAAAGTAAACTTAATGCTGATGCCACATGCTACAATACCAACCTGAGTTTTATTTTTTAAAGAGAAACAAAATAAAAACATTCTCTTGTGTAATTAACATGTAGCTAATACAGTTAGATTTCATTTTCAAATCTTCTTTATTTTAATATATATTTTTAAAATTGATTTTAGGGAGGAAGGGAGAGGGAGAAAGAGAGCGAGCGAGCAAGCGATAGAAACGTCAATGATGAGAGAGAATCATTGATTGGCTGCCTCCTGCACACCCCACTGGAGGTGGAGCCGCAACCCGGGCAAGTGCCCCTATGGGAACTGAGCCGTGACTTTCTGGTTCATAGGTGACACTCAACCACTGAGCCACACCAGCTGGGCTCAAATCTTCTTAAATGATGTGGGATAATACCATTTCTGTTTTTTTTTTTTAAATCAGAAATTTGAAATATATTGAAAAATCAAGAACTATAACTCAGGAAAATAATGAAATTTCAACATTAGGAAAGCCAATAATGCAAATCAGCTCACATATTAATAAATTAAAGGAGAATAATCCAATGATGATCTCATCAGATGCTGAAAAGACACTTGACAATTCAGTATACATTCCTATTTTAAAGGAAACTTTGAGTGTGTTCTCCCTCCCAGGAGCATGCCTGTGTCTTTCCCTCCCCCCTCCTCATCCCCCACAGGCACCCATCTCCTAACCTCTAAGGGACTCCACGAGACTTTCAACCGCGGGAGCAATGGGCAGCGGCAGCTCCTCCCGGGCTCACCCCCTGAACCTGTCTCCAAGGCCCCCTTTTCGCTGACTTCGCAGTGAGCCACAGCGGCCCACCCAGGCTCTGTCCTGTTGCTTCTTATATCTTCAGCCCTTCCTTGTTTCACTGGACCAGCTTTAATAAGCTCTCAAAAAACAAAGAAACTTTTCATAAGCTTCAATAAAGGCAGAGACCACTGCAAATATAATAATGAGGCATTGGGAGATTCCCATTAAAGGTGGGAACAGGGTAGGAGTTACACCATCGCATTGTTTGGGATTTTTGTTTTTTTACCACTTTCAGAAGCATCTTCAAAATGAATTTTAAAAATTTCATAAAAGTACCAGAAGAAAGTATAGGATTTTTAAAAGCAATTATTATTTTAAAAATAACCTTCCTCTCTTTCTTTGTCCCTCCCCCCTTCCCTTCCTTTCTCTCTTTCAATATTTTTGGTGTTGGCAGGCCAGGAGAGAAGGCGGGCAGAGAAATTGCAGTGATGCAATGAGCTCCACAGGTACAAGGCCAGAGGCAGGTCCCTGGGTACTGCCCATCCTTGGATTTCTAAAAACCTTTGGCGCACTGCAATAACCTCCGTCAACCTCCTGGCAGCCAGCCAGGAGCTAGAGGGAAAGGTCTGGGACTAGGGACAGGGAAAGTGCCTGGCTCAGCAAGGGCCCTGGGGGGCAGGGGGAAATGGCAGCAGTGGGGGGGGGAGGGGCGGTGTTGCGGGGAGGGGGATATACCCATCTAGCTGACTCAGTGTGCTAAGCTTCAGAGTGGAGCTGGCACAATGCAACAGGAAACTGAGGAAAATGCTATCTGGGACCAAGGGATTGCAGAAACCCCGCACTTATATAATTCCCCAGAAAGGTTCTTTTCTGAGAATATTTCAAAAGAGGCATTTTGAATCATTTTTCCAGGAGACATTGTGGTTCATCAGAATTAGAGCGTTCGGAAACAAGAGAGGGAGGATCCCTGTCTCTTCTCACGCAAAGAACGCTTTCCTCATTGTTAGTGAGCCAGAGTGTGCGGCACTTTTGTCCCCCGAGAGTGAAGCCCCGACTTTCTTCAGGCACGTAGTTCGCTGTTTCCATCGGCGAGTTACATGGTGCCTCTGCTGTAGGTTACAAGCTCCCAATAACAGGGCGAGACAGGCCATCGTCTGTGTTCCTGGGACGCTTCGTTCTATAGCTCTGTGACATTAATCTCTCTCCTAACTCAGGCTTTATAGCACCTCTGTCCTGCATGTCTGCTCCCCTGGCATCTTGTTCCCTATACGTACAGGATTGGGGAGTAAGCTTATTACTCTTAGCAGAATCCATTTATAACCCCACAGGGCTGGCAGGGATGTGAAATACTGTTACAGCGATATTGAGGTATAAATCTTGCTGCCTCCATTGTCAAGCCTGCCGTCCAGGTCAATCATTTGCTATTGCTTCACTACACATTGCTGGCTTTTGGTATCGATCACAGGTCAATTAGCAGGTTTTGGCCTACCCAGCGTTTTCAGGACTGTTATGTGACTTTGATTACATTGGCTCTTAGGGGAGGAGGTGTACTGGAATCTGAAGATACAAGCTGTTTATTTAAAACTCTTATCTCACCTGTGGCTGCTTTTTTTTTTTTTTTTCTCTTAAAGTTTGTTTTATTTCAAATAATATCACCTTGGCCTCTCGGGCTCCAAAGTGTTGTTTTTCTTTTTTTCCATTTTGATTGTCAGGTGTTCTTGCTTACACCTTAAAAAACCCTAAACCTCTGGTATTTTTAATTTTACACACTTTTCTAAAGCATTGGGGTCCCCTGTTTGCTCCAACAGGTACCTGTTTTGAGAGCTTAAGACTCCTCCTTAAGGAATCCTTGTCTTGGTCATGCTGAAGGACTCCCCGAGTACATGTGAAGATCTCATTGGCCCATCTAGCAACTAGAAGAGCTCCCAGGAGTTGTACAAAATGGAAGGTTCTTATCAGCAGAAGGAGGGTGGGACTAAAAAGGAAAAGAAGTGGATTATTTCAGGCAAGGACACCTTCCTTTAGGGCAGTGGTTCTCAACCTTGGTTGCACATTAGAATCACCTGGGAATCTTTTCAAAACCCTGATTTCTGGGCTTCCTCCTCCGGAAATTCTGTTTCTTTGTTATGGGGTGAGGCCACAACATTAGTAACAAAGAAACAGAATTTCTGGAGGATGAGGCCCAGAAATCAGGATTTTAAAAAGATTCCCAGGTGATTCTAATGTGCAGCTAAGGTTGAGAACCACTGCCTTAGGGGAACACAGTTGGTCTTATCAGGCAGACTAGAGGCCCAATGCATGAAATTTGTGCATGGGTAGGGTCCCTAGGCCTGGCTGGCAATCAGGGCCATTCTGCGGGGTGACTGGCAGGGCAATTAGGGGGGCCCCTCCTGCTGGCACCCGCCTTTGCCAGCCTGGCACCACCCACTTGCCAGCCCCGCCCCTCGCTGCTGCCGACGCTTGTCACCCCTGCTGGCACCGGCCTGGCTGGCCTGGGGCCTGCGGGCTGGGGACAGCTCCTGTATTGAGCGTCTGCCCCCTGGTGGTCAGTGTATGTCATAGTGACTGGTCATTCTGCCGTTTGGTCGATTGGCATATTAAGCTTTTATTATATAGGTTTATTTCACTAGTGCTGACCAGGAAATTCCAGACTGACCAGGAAATTCCAGACTGATTGGTTTAAAATTCTTCTGGGAGAGTCTGAAACTGTAATTAGGTTGATTATTAAGTTTTGGTTTGGTGACTTGACTTAGCAAACCCTCCATATGCATAGCAGCACTATTTATAATTGCCCCCAAATGGAAATAACCCAAATGTCCATCAACTGATAAATGGATAAGCAAAATGTGGTATATCCATGCAGTAGAATATCATTTGGCAATAAACAGGAATGAAGTTTATTCCTGTTTGGCGCCATGGATAGAGCCTTGGACTGCAGACTGAAGGGTCTTGGGTTTGATTCTGGTCAAGGGCATGGATCTCTTCTACCAATTGATGTGTTTCTCTCTCTCTGCCTTTCCCTCTCCCTTCCACTCTCTCTAAAAATTAATGGAAAAATATCCTTGGGTGAGGATTAAAGAAAAAAAATAAAACCCCTATTTTTTTTTTTTTTTTTTACAAAAAGGAATGAAGTACTACTACACATGGATGAACCTTACAAACTTTATTTTAAGTGAAAAAAGTCCGACACAGAAGGCCACTGTTGTATAATTCCATTTACATGAAATGTCCAGAATAGGCAAATTCATAGAGATAGAAAGTAGACTGGTAGTTGCTTAGGGCCAGCGGGGTAGGGGAAAAACGAGTATGACAGCTAAAGGGTATGAAGTTTCTTTTATGAAAATGATCTAAAATGAAATTATGATGTTTGTACAAACATGCCAATGTATTCCAAATCAATTAATTCTATACTTTTAATGGGTAAATTGTATGGCATGTGGATTATATCTCCACAAAGTTGTTTTGTTGTTGAAGAAAGGAGCAGCGCATTTAGAAGGAGCCAGCGAAAACACGGCGTTGGCAACGGCACTGAGATCTGTGTGCCATCAGGAAGCCTCCTCTGAACCCCGTTTCCTTCCTGGTAGCGTCTGCTGCCACCGCCCCAAACTGATCTCCCCACAGCCCCGAGTTTCTTGCATCAGAACGATCACTCAGCACTGACATTGATGCCCGACTGCCTAAGTGATTCTTGGTCTCAAACCCACCTTTCCAACCTTGTGTCCCGCATGAAGCGCATAGAATTTAGGGGCTTATCGAATTTATACATTGGTTTATTGTCAGTCTTTTGGCTCTAGGGCAGGGACAAGCAGAAATGAAAAACCACGAAGAATTAATTGTCTTTCAGTTTTTCAGTTACTGGCTTTTCTAGATAAAAAGCAGCGCAGTGGCTGTGAGGTAATGAACAGGCTCCCTCTGGAAGCCAGGGACTTGTAATTTACAGAAAACAAATTACAAATAGAAAATGAGGTAGGAAAGCAAGTATATTTATTAAAATGAGAAGGAGAAGGAATTGTGTGAGGGGAAAAAAAATAAAATGGAATCGTCCTTATTTAGGAGAATCTGCTTCTGCTGATCATAAAAGAAAGCTTAGATTTCATCCCGAGGCCTCTGTGTGCCTTGCACGTGTGCCCTCGGTCGCTGTGCCGGGGAAGGTTTTACTGTGTGTCCT